GTTCCCAAATTGTTCCTCACTGTCATCCATACTGGACTAATAAATGACCCCGATCCTTGCCCATTACAGGCTATGAACGAAAATGGTTCAATTTGAGTGAAAGTATTTCGCTTGTCATTACGGAGGTTATCACCTCACGAGGGTATAGGTACTTTATTTCCTCCTATAAGGGATAGAGCTTGGGTATAAAGCTCATGCATGAGATGCAGTATGTCATTGTGTGTGCAAATGTATCCTAATTTATTGAGAGTAATATATATAGAAAAATAAAGTAAAAAAAAAAGGCATAGTAAAAGAAATGTGGGTGAATTTTTTTTTTGTTTTTAATTTATTTTTTTTGTTGAAAATAAAAAATAAAAATCTAAGAAATCAATTGGGATTGTTTAAATCAAAATTTTAGGATAACGTGTAGTTAATTTTGGCCTGATTTTTAAAAACAATATTTTTCCCCAGCGGAGTCGTCAAGCTGTCGTAATGGTTTTGTGTCCACCCGACGAATTTGAAAACGAAATAAAAAATAACAGAGTCGCCACCAATCTTTTTTTTGGCTAGGTGCGATTGGCCACCTACTAAAACATATCCTTTTAAAATTAATTAAAATTTATTAAAAAGATAATTTTACGGTCTGCGAAACAGTCTGGGTTCGAAAGTCGGTTACGTTTGGGGAAAGATTAAAACCTCCACAGTGCTCGTTTAAAACAGTACCATTTAACTACGCATTATCATTTGATTTTGATAAAAAAACAGTCTTATTTTCGGTGTTTGAAAAATAATTTTCTTTGATTTCTTTTGTTTATTATTTATTATTTTTTATAGTCAAATATTATTCGAGAAAAATAAATTAGAACATTTTTATTGAAATTATTCTTAAAATGTTCCAGTACGTTGGTAACATTAGAAGAACTCTTTCTTACCTAGAGATTTTCTTAGGCATCACTTCTCGAAATACCTTAGAATCTCATCTTTGGAGGTCCGAATTTATTTTTCGTAAAAAATTATGTCATGTATGCAATACAAATAATAACATGTTGATGCACACATTTTATTCTCTTTTTCAAAAATTTTATTAATTTTTTATTAATTATTTTATTTTTAATTTTGGAAAAAAAAATTATTGTATTGAAGTTTTTTATAAATATTTCAATACACTGGTAATATTTAAAAAATCTTCTCACCTAGGGATTTCGTAAAGCATCTCTACTCGGAATACTTTTAGAATCCTATCATTGGATAAAATTTCTTTTTTTCTTATTTATATTATTATTTTAATAAATTAATTAATTTTATTTTTTATCAAGAAAAGAAAATTTTATTGTATTGAAAATTTTTTTATAAATACTCCAATATACTGGTAGTATTTAAAAAAAATCTTTTCACATAGAGATTTCGTAGGCATCACTACTCGGAATACCTTTAAATTTCATCATTGGATAAAATTTCCTTTTCTTACATTTTTTATTACTTTTTTATTAATTAGTTTTTATCAATTGTTGTATATTTTTATTTATTCTAGTTCATTAAAATTTTGATAAGTTTATGTTTAGTAATTATTTTAAATTAATTAAATTAAAACTATTTTATATTTTCTATCATTTATTTTATTTTATATGAAAAGTTTTATACAAAAATAAAATAAAAAAACAAAAAAATCATAAATTAAATAATAGATATATATAAAAAAAATTTGAGCAAAAAAAAAATAAAAGAAATAAAAAGTTATGACGAAAATACCTAAAATGCCTCTAGTCAACACGATCAAAATTCAAAGGCCACTTAAACGGCTCGGTCAACCGGCTTGGACCTATAGTCAACGATTTAATCGGCTTGGCTTTGGGTATATGGCTCGGCTTGGTGGCTTGGCTACCACTTAATCAAAACGACGTCATTTTGATTTCACTATAAATAACCCCCCAAAACACCTCATCTCTTTCATTTTTCCTTTTTTCTCTTTCTCTCTTCTTTTTTTCTCTCTCTTCCAAAATTCTTCTTCTTTCTCCTTCCCAGTTTTCGATGATCCAGTTGTCGTCGGATGCTATCGTCAGTCATTGGTGCCAATTACCGATAAGTGTGTCAAAAAAATTACAAAAAATACCTAAAAAATTGTTTTCGACCTTGTAAACTCAAATCCAACCTTCGTTTTGTGAAAAAAAGCTTCAAACGATGTAGATCGAGGCCCAAAGTTTCTGTTAAAATAAAAAAAAATTTATGTTTTTGGTGCTGAGATCCCTGCTACCAGGGGTTGTTTTTTTTTTTTTTTTTTGGGATTGTGTTTTTCTGTTTTGGTGTTTGCGTTTTTAGCTTCTGTATTTGAGTGGTTTTTTTTTTTTTTACGAAATGAGCTGGGGTTTTTTTTTTTGTGAATGGATCTTTCTCTGAAAATGGAAGAAGCTAGGGTCTTTATAGAACCAGACGTATGTTCAGGAAGGTGGTCTAGGAGTCTGTAGGTGTGGCTGTAGGTGTCTGTAGAGCGTGGTTGTAGGAGTGACGAAGGTCATAAGCGTAGCTGATCTGATGGGACTGGTCTGGTAGCTAAATGGGGCTGTTGGGGTCGACGGCGCCACCATTTTCAAGACTTTTTTTTTTATCTTTCTCTTCTTCTTTTTTTTTAATTATTAATATTGTTAATAATATTATTAAAATTATTATTAATATTAAACTGAAAATGAAGACAGTAAACCTAAACAAAATCGGTATCTACAAATTTTATGGATTGTAACCTGTTGGACAAATTAATATTTTAGACTTGAACTTTATGTATTATAATTGGCTAAAAGTATTTTTACTGCTTGCAGGATAAATTAATGTTGTTTGAGACTTGGACTTTATGGACTGTAATTGGCTAATTGCATACTATTATTTAAGTTTGTATTATGTTGTTTTATATTTGTATTGTTTTATTTGAGTATTGCTCACTATTTTAGAATTGTTATAAGAACTATCTCTATAGGAATTATATTGAATGTCCAGCACAAGAAACAATATACCAGAACCGATTAAATCAAGAAAATCGACCAAGATCAAATGGCTTAAGTCGATTCAATTTTCTTGGTTTTATCTTATACTTTGGTCGGTTCCATTTTACCCTAAGACTAAATCGATTTTGCAGTTTTTACAATCAAATTAATCAAACTAACCATTGCTCAACCTTAATTAGGCAAATCATTTAGACTTTAATTACGGTCTAATAAATTATTGAGAAAGTTTAATAATATGATTTTATTACTATAAAAATAAAAAATAAAAATTTGATAAGGTTAGAAAGGAAAATTTCGGTTTCATATGAATCTTAGTGTTTGCAATGGTGGATTAAGATAATATTCTATATTACGAGATAAAATATTGCTATGTTATTATATACCATTAGAAAGCTTGCTAAATTTACTGTCCAATGAAATAAATGAAAGTCAATTTTGAGTTTTCTATAAAGAGTAGTTTAATTTTTACTTAAGGATGTGCAGGCTATCTAGTAGCAGCAGCAGGGAGAAATTGCAAAATTCCTCTTAATTTCTATACAAGGAATTACAGATTAAGCCATATGTGTTGGAAAGCTTATTGAGTCTACTTTTCAATGAAACAAACAGAAGTGAATTTGGAGCTTCTTATGAATAAATGTGTAATTTTTATTGAAAAGTATAGATTCTATCTGACAACAGCATATGACGTGAATTGCAAAAATTATTATAATTAATCTATAAGGAATCACAAGATTTTTCATATATGGTTAGAAAGCTTATTTCTAACGTATTAAAAAAACCTTAATTCCAATTTGGATATATTGAGATATAGTCATTTTAATGAAAAGAGGTTAGACTGCTAGTATTAGTTAATTGAGTTAACTTTTGTATAACTCAATTGTTTTAGTATATGGTCTAAAAAAGAGTTGACTAATTTTTAATATGTTGAAATGATCTTAAATAAGCCACTAATTAGTTTGAAGAAAAAACTAAGTGGTGGAATCAAAATAAGGTAAGTAGAATCTCACATACTTTGTTTATTTTCGAACCTATGAATATATGTATGTTTCTAAATGAGTAAATATTTTATTTCATTATTTTCGATATATGAAAATAGGACCAAGTATATAATTATTTTATGTTTTTGCTATGTAAATTATGGATCATGCTTATGAATAAAATAAGAAAATTATTTATGTTTAATGAATAGTTTTATGATAATTACATTTTTACATCCCCGAGAAGTAGAATCATTGACACCAGAACTAATTTTATAGCCCTGATTAATGGGTTATAGTAGTTAGCATGTATATGATCATAAGGCCCTAGCTACCAGGTTATTGTAGTTAGCATTAGGCTTTGGCTAGCGGGTTATAATAGTTAACAATGATCATGATGATGCAATTATCGATACGACCAATGTCACAGGTTAGAGCAATGACCATAATTAACGACGAACTAATGATTTGTGATTATTTAAAAATTGATCCATGATTTGGTTTGATTATGATAATTAAATGATAGCATATTTTGCAATAAATTATGAATTGACATGTTTTGACATTGATTTATGAATTTATGAAATTTTTGATAGAACGATAATCTTTGAAATGTTTTGACATTATGATTTGAAGAATATTTTGAATGATATATATGATATGTATGGAAACAATGCTTGATCCAACAAGGTGTATGAGCCTATACTTGTTGACCTATGGTTTGCTCATTCTCCTTTTACTTTTCCTTTACAGATGAGTGAATGATAAGTTTGCTTAGTTATGTAAGAAGCTAGAAAATCAAATAAGAAAGATTACTTGGACATTAGAGACATTGTAGGCTAGTAAGGTCTTATGAAGTGGTTTAATGTTTTTATTAGTTTACATTTGGGAATATGAAGATTTTTTATTAGTTGAATTAAAGTTATGGATTTTCTTGAACAAATTATTTTATTAAAGAGTTTTAGAATGAAAAAGAAATAAGATTTTATATTACTTTAGAGTTTTGTTTTAATGTAATATGGTTGTGTTATATCTCGGGCTTGGGGCGTCACAAAACATGACGAGTTTCTTCACAGAAAATGCCTAATTTTCCATACTCGACTTGGCAGCATTGGGAGGTTGAAACTGATAGAGCCAAGTCATGAATAAGGTCATGCATAGTATATCCCACCTTCTTGTTTATGTTTAAAATTTGAAAGAAAGACCTTGTTAGCAATTCATCAAAACATTCAATTCCTGCCTCCTCTAAACTTTGTTGTGCATTTGATTGAATGAATGCTTCAGCCATCCAAAGCTTGACCAACTCCTTTCTATCAAAAACATAGGCCTTTGGAAATAAGAAGCAATATGCAAAACACTGCTTCAGATTAGAAGGTAGGTGGTCATAACTCAATTTCAAGGCAGGCAGAATTTTAGGCCTGTCAAAATTCCCCTCCTCTAGCTCAAATATATTGTGTCTTAAGATTTTCTTCCATTTGTTTACATCAACATTATCAGGCAGGAGACCTCCCACTGCCTGTACTGCCAATGGCAAGCCGCTACACTTCCATACAATTTTCCTATCAAGGTTTTCCAATTCTGCATGTGTGCCACCCAATGAACTATAGTCTTCGAAAGCAATTTTTTTAAACAATGACCAACATTCATCCTCGGGCAAATATTCCAATCTGTAAGGAGGTTGTGTTCCCTTAATGTCTGACACTTTGGTGATTCGAGTGGTGACCAAAACACTACTGCCCTTACCTCCTTGTTTCGAAAGGTTTTGAAGTGGCTTCCATTCTCGGTAATCTTCAGTCCAAACATCATCTAAAACAAGCAGAAAGTTTTTCCCAAACAAGAATTTTAGAAACTGCTCCTCTAGTCGGCTTGTGTCCAACTCGTTAGAATACTCCACTTCTGTGAGAAATTTTATCATTTCCTTGAGTATCCTTCTATAATTGAACTTAACTGTGACACAGACCCACATCCTAAAATCAAAATGATTCTTTACTCTCTCATCATGGAAGATAAGTTGAGCTAGAATTGTTTTGCCTAAGCCTCCCATCCCCACAATAGGAATCACAGAAACATCAACTTCCATATCAAATTCATTTGATAGCATCAGATTTATTAATGTTTGTTTATCAGATTCTCTGCGAATGACATTCATTGTGTTCAAAAAGAAAGTGGTGTCCGGAAGGTTTTGGGACCTTCCATAATCACTAATTATGTTGAGATGGAATTTGTTTTTCTCTTCAGCAATTGCAGCAAATTCCGCTGAAATTTCGATGATCTTATGCGCAATCATGGATTTAAAGTGGACCTCGCTTAGACTGAATGGAGGTCGGAAATTGCGTACCTGCTGCTTTCTCTTCCAAAGGAAAGTTTCTGTCTGTGCATAGGTTTCCAGTATGTCCTCTATGTCACAAGCTGCATTTTTTAGCTTTGATAGCCAGTGTTTCACAGGTGGTTCATCCAGTTGCCTCTCCTCTGCGTCTTTAAGCACAGCTTGGATGGTGATTAGATTGCTTGACAGCTTTTCTACCTTCTTGACACCCTGGATTGCAAGAAACCCTTCCTTGATCAAGGACCCAGCAGGGTCAATGATATTACTCACTAGAGGCTGCACAAAAATTGAAGCTGGATCACCCATAACTCTTGATAGCTTATTAATCAGAACCCCTCAAAACAGAAAAAGTATTAATCAATATTGTTTACTCCATTCATTATCTTCTGTATGGAAAGATGACACAAGAACTCTCCAGCAAGAAAATATGTTTAAGACAATATAGGAACTCAGTTGAACAGGATGATATATCATTCGGTTTCTTGTTCTGTCTGTGTATAGAAAAATTTAGACACTGCAGAGACCCTAGAAAAGTTGGTGGTTTACTACGAAATTTCCACCTCCTTGCACAAGTAGAGTACCTGAGACGGTACTGCTGATGCATGGACCAAGTAAAATAAATTATTTACATATGCTAAATTTGACATCAAAGGTAGTATTATATCCTATTGACTCTAAACTAGTCTTTTCTTCCATTGGTAGGCAGATGGTGCAATATTGCAAGCCATCCTGACTGTTAGGCGATTGCCTCCATTTGTTAATATTTTTCTTGCAGTTCAAGAGACTAGATCACCTTCCACAATTCTGAATGAGTTGAATGCATCAGTGAATTTCCCAGAAAATATCTGGACAAAGTGCAGGGAAAAGAAAGTAATTTCAAAGTTTTGCCACGAGTTCTTAGGATCAAACAAAATCTGATGACAATGTTGGCTTCCAGAAATGTTTCATCCACGCCTCTTTTATAGTATTATGCACATCATCTGATTATTTGCAGAGAATTCATTTGTTTTCTTCAGTTACTATTGAGCTTTTATGTGGATGTTTCCTCCCTTTTTTCCCTCGCAAGTCTAACTTTGAATGGTAAATGATAAATACTCAGTAAAGGGTTACTTCTGATAACTTTTCACCTTTGAATGAAAAGTCAAGATCATTCAATGCAATCTTTCAGACAAAACTAATGACTTCATTAAAGTCAAGTCTTCACGCGTGCTAGAGTAAACTGTAAATTTTTCTACGAATTGACCACAATAGAGGCTGACTAGACAAAAAGACAAGTATCTTTCTTTGTACCTTCTTATATGTTGCAGCTTCTCCTCTGTGTTTCTCCCCACGTTTTAAGTCCCTTTGACATTGTTTTTAATATTCAAGAGTGTGGACATCTTTGCTTTTGTTGTGAACATAACCATGAATTTGAAGAGAAAAGCAGTAGCAACTGACACTACCAATGAGCTCTTCCCACAGCACAAGATGAAGGTTTGTTTCCCTCTCCCTCTCCCTTGTTTCCTAAATTAGTGCTTGCCAAAAAGTTTAATTGAACAAAGTCTGTGGATAATTTAATGTGTGAAACTGAGAAGAAAGATTTTTTTATTATTATTATTTTCTGTTCCAACTCTTTATGCAGAAAACTTGGGAGGATGCAAAGTCTGGTCACAAATGCTTCGTGCTGTATGCAAGGTCACTCCACATCAGTTGGAGTGACCATGAATATTGGATGTGGGAAAGTTTTAAAGAAACAAGGTGAGATTCAGAGAATATTTTCAGGGGAATCATTGTTTTTGTCATTTGTCAATTGCCATGTGGTCATGCTTGTTATTTGTTTCGTGATATGCAGTGATGAGAAAATTGAAGTAGCCAGACTAAGAACTGTTTGTTGGCTGGAAGTGAAAGGAAAATTCAAAATATCAGACCTTTCGCCAGGAACTGTATATGAAGTTGTGTACGTAGTCATGTTAACAAAAGAGGCATCCGGTTGGGAACTTCCTGTGAAGCTTAAATTATCTCTCCCTGATGGAAAAGTTCAGGAGCGTCAAGTTAGTCTCTTGCAGAAGCCTAGAGGGCCATGGATGGAGCTCAGTCTTGGCCATTTCTGCACAGGGGAGAATGATGAAACAGGAGAAGTTTGCTTTGATCTCTACGAGATTGGGGGCCACTGGAAAAGTGGACTTGTAATAAAGGGTGCCATTCTAAGGCCGATAAACTGAATCGCTCGGTGTTTGGGTAGTGATCCTTTTAAAAATTATAGTGATTACATCACTTTGATAAGTATTTGATAATTTTATTTGACGGTGATTTTAGGTTATCAAAAATAATCACATCATTACTTTTGAGGGTAATTTAATTCTCATATAGAAAGATGAAAAATTTTTATAATCAAATGATATATAAAATTAACAATAATCAAATTTACTTGTGAATTAAAATTTTATTATATTTTAAAATTGTAATTATTTTTTATTATAAATTTTTATATTTTTTATTAATATTTATTATAATAAGTTCAAAATAATTTGTGTATTTTTACTTTTTAATATTTTATATATAATATAATATTTTTTTATTATAAATTTAATAGATTGGTTTCATTTTCTAATTTAATATTTGTTCATAATTTATATTATAAAAATAAATTTACCTTTTAATAAATATATTAATTACTTTAATAATTTAATAAATTTTATTATAAAATAAATAAATATTATTTATATTTTACAAATTATTATGTTTAAACAACCATAAAATTATTAGTTTATATAACTATTACAATATATATGATTATTTTCATACTTTTAAATAAAATAATATTTGATATTTAACAATATCAAATATAGTTATCTTTAATTTATATAACTATTATAATATGTATGATTATTTTCATATTTTTAAACAAAATAATATTTAATATTTAATAATACAAAATATAATGATCTTTAATTTTTAAAAATTAATCATTATTAACTAAACAAAATAATTTTAAATTCCGAATATTAAGAATACTTTGATAAAATGATCTTATAAAAAAAACTAAACCCTATTTAAAGGAATACAAAGAATGGCAAAAAAATATGCAGGAATCCCTGCTGCTTAATAAGTAAAAAAAAAAAAACAAAACACCTGTTCTATTCAGCATGTTGCAGTTTTTAATTACTTTTACTTTCAGTTCATGCTTGTTACAGCTGTCATGTTTATTTTTTTGGATGATTTCTTTCAACTGGATTGCCTAAAAGGTACTTTCTCTGTGTAAAGACCTGAGGTGTCATTCATATATATGATTCTAGACCCAAATCTTTTAACTTGATGTTAAAATGCATCATACAAAAAAAATAATAAGAGAAAAAATCAGTATATAAAATCAAATTGGTTCAATTCAAGTTACAATTCCTGCTCAACATTACAAGTACTTTTTTTTTTTTAATTAGACATTGTAAGTACTTTTAAATAACTGAAAGTAGCATTTCACCTTTTCCTGCCTGACCGATGGCCTTAGTTCAACATTCTACCTTCAGAGAACTCAAGTAAACAACAACGAACCACTCAAATATAACACTAACAACACTTACGAGACAGAATAAGTTGAACACCACCTGCCTTCACATGCACATTATGTGCACAATGCAGCAGTCCCCTTCACATGTTCAAAACCAGGAGTGCCATTAAATCATGTAAGCTCACTTTACCACTAACAAAGTATTACACAATTCCATTATACAGTAACAAGCTATATGTGTGACACACACAAAGACAGCAAGATTCGATTCAACCAACTAATCTACTGTTAATCAATCTCACAGTCATTAAACCAAATAAATATAAGCCATTAAAATAGCAGGACATATATGATTTCAAAAAAAAAAAAAAAGAAAATCATGCCAAAGAAAATCCAGGCAATCCCTCCTGTACGACAAGCACTTGCATGGTTGCACTGGTAGGCGAGTAATACACTTTTAAAAGACAAAATACATGCAATACTACCCAAAACTCAAACCAGTCATGAGCAACACCCAGTTTCAGATTTTTTTGGAAAGGCAATAGAATTTCATTTAGACTTTTAACCCAGAAACTAAAAAAATTCTCAAGAGTAGGAGATCCCAAAGACACCAAGAACACCCAATTTCAGATTAAAATCTGTCAAGAAATCCAAGTAAACTTTGAATCAAAACCATCGTCCACCTTGTCAGTCCCCAGAATTCACATGACAGGCTACTCTGTGACTCTGATGAAAGGATGACAAAGCACCTGCTGTCTCTCTCTCTCTCTAGTAGGATTTGATCACTTCAGCTCCACCCTATCCTGCTACATTTTTAGTTCATATCAGTAACCCAGTATGCATTACCCTATCATCTGAAGTCAAGTTTGAGTTTGTTTTTTACAGTGCGGGAAAGGAGTAATACAAATATGTAGCTCTAATCAGAGGAATTTTGACTCCCTTGCTACAATAGAGTGAACATAAAAAAAATAGTAGAAATGCTCACATAAAAACAAAAAAGTAATTAACTAAGTGTTGAAGTACATGGTTGCATTCGACATAGAAAGAAATAAAAGAAGGAACACCATATCTATTGTCAGCCCCTTAAAGTAGGAGTTGAGGCACTTCAGTTGATGCAAATAAGGATATGTATTCTACAATTCAACAGAGGGACACATGCGCTGAGATTATTGAGAAGTAGAATTGACTGATCAATTTAAGAACTTCACAAATTGAGAAGCCATTCGCAAATTCGGGGATCCTGCCAGGCATTTTCTTCCCCTTGTATACACGGCCAGGTATTGTTCCAGCACCAATAGACCCCAATTCTCTATGACTCTTGGAACCATGGGTCATTTGACCTCCTTTAAAATTATGGGGCTTTACTCCACTTGTGTGAAAATTGGGGGAAAAAATTATGAAACGTATTAAATTCCACCACTGGGGAATTTGAATAGCCATAACAACAGGACCAACATTACGTAAAAGGAAGTTCAAAACCTTTAAAGAAAGCCAGCATTTCAAACTAAAATGCTAAAAACCAATATAAAATGAGCCAAATAATATAATTAGAACAGAAGGTACCGACCAACATATATAAGGAGCTTACATATATTTTATATATCATCAAGAAAAGAGAACAAAAGATAACCCATTCAGAACTTTTCCATTTGATCAACATGAAATTGTAAGTTTATGAAACCAGCACATATTCATGATGAAGCTATGATTAACAAAAAAAAAAATCACTTCAAATTGCATATAACCATAATATGTTCTCAATTGGATAGTGTGACAAAGGTTTTTAAGATGATGCCAGAAAGGGATCTCGTTTCATGGAATACGGTAATTGCAGGGAATGCACAAAATGGAATGTATGAAGAAGCATTGAGGATGGTTAGGGAGATGGGGAATGCTAACGTGAAACCTGATTCATTTACTTTGTCCAGCGTACTTCCTATATTTGCAGAGTATGTGGATATCATGAAAGGAAAGGAGATTCATGGATATGCTATTAGACATAGGTTTGATTCTGATTTGTATATAGGTAGTAGTGTGATTGATAATGTATGCCAATTGTGCTTGGATTGAAGATTCATGCCGTGTATTTAATCTGTTGCCTCAAAGAGATGATATTCTTGGAGTTCGATTATTGCAGGGTGTGTACAAAATGGTACGTTTGATGAAGGTCTGAAGTTGTTTCGTCCAATGTTAATGGCTAAAGTAAAGCCAAGAGAAGTTTCATTTTCTAGTATTATGCCGGCTTGTGCTTACTTGACAACACTGCATTTAGGAAAGCAACTTCATGGTTACATAATTCGATGTAGATTTGATGATAATGTGTTTATAGCCAGCTCACTTGTTGATATGTATGCCAAATGTGGAAACGTCAAGCAAGCTAGGTGGATTTTTTATCAAATGGAACACCATGACATGGTTTCATGGACAGCGATAATCATGGGACATGCTTTGCATGGACATGCCTATGATGCCCTTACATTATTCGAGCAGATGGATAAGGATGGGGTGAAACCCAACTATGTATCTTTTATGGCTGTCTTTACTGCTTGTAGTCATGCTGGATTGACAGATGAAGCTTGGATGCATTTCAAAAGTACGAGCCAGAATCATGGTATTACACCTGGCTTGGAACACTATTCTGCTATGGCAGACCTTGGTCGTGCAGGAAAGTTGGAGGTAGCATATGAATTCATCTCTAGCATGGACATTGCACCTACAGGCAGTATTTGGTCAACGCTATTATCTGCTTGTAGAGTCCAGAATAACCTTGAGTTGGCTGAAAAGGTTGGCGATGAAATATTTAAACTTGATCCAGAGAATGTTGGAGGTTATACTCTGATGTCAAATATGTATGCAGCGGCTCGTAAATGGAAAGACGAAGCAAAGATGACAATCTCTATGTAGAAAAAAGGCATAAGAAAGGAACCAGTTTGCAGTTGGATAGAAGTTAAAAACAGGGTTCATGCTTTCATATCAAGAGATAAATTACATCCTCTTTACGACAGAATATTTAAGGCATTGCAAGATCTTATGGAAAGGATTGAACGAGAAGGGTATATTCCTGACACAAATGAGGTTTTCCAAGATGTTGAGGAGCAGAAGAAATACATGCTATTCAGCCATAGTGAGAGAATAGCTTTAGCTTTCGGCATCATTAGCACTCCTGCTGGGACAACAATTCGAATAACCAAGAACATTCGCATTTGTGTGGACTGCCACACAGCTATAAAGTTCATGTCAAAGATCAAAGAGAGATAATCGTGAGGGATAATAGCAGATTTCACCATTTCAAAGACGGAGTGTTCATGCAGAGATTATTGGTAACAGGCCGAATATGAAATGATGTTGAGATCCAAACCATTGATCATCTATAGGTTGAGGGATCAATATGATAAGCTGTTTTCACTCTTTGAGCATGGGAGAAAATTGCCATGAGAATCTATGTGGCAAGAATTCATAAACTTTCCACCAGAATCATCATAGCTAAGTTCTTTTAAAGTGCATTTTTCTGGAGCCTCTCTCCTCATCTCCATCAGAATGTTGTAGGAATAATTGCATGCTAACTTTGTATGATTATTTTATTTAAAACATTTATGTACATATTACATGAAAACTCACTTTGGAAGAGTTTTACCAATAATGGTTTTCCTCCATGTGAAATGCTAGCTGATAAAGAAATTTATTCTTACAATTGGCAGAATGGTAGTTGTTGATCATGACCTTGATTTGAAATGCTATCTATCCTTCTATTGCCTCTGGACAAGTATGATTGATTCTTGCATCCTTGAATCTCGAAAGCAATTCCTTGAATCGCCAATAACTTTACAGCCCGTCAAAACACATACATGCATCGGTTGGTCCATCTTTATACTTAAAGCAATTAATTTTTTTTCTTCAGAGTTCAATTAACATCTAACCTTGGAAAGAAGTTAAAGCTTTATGTTAGAGGCAATTACCATTGGCTTAAAAATTAAAATACTAACAAGTTTTTATCCTGTAGACTAGAGAATCTGCTTTTCTTATTTAAGCTACGTTAAGGAGTAATACTTTAAGCTAATAAAGAATATGAATTTTTATATTCTCAGATCCTTATCTTTCTTTTCTCTTAAAAGAACTTATATTTATAACAAAATAAGCAAGAATAATTAGCAGAGGAAGAATAAGTTTCATAAATGGTTTCTTACTGTTTATTTGTTTAAGTTCAAAATGTGAGCAAGGACTAAAAAAGTACTCACCTTTACTCAAAATAATAGAGGAATCTATGATTTCTTCTTTTGCAAATCAGCAACTGAAGGTAGCTTGATTGAATCAATTACCTGGTCTCTAACATGCATGATCTTTGGCCGAGAGAGGTAGGTAGCCCATCCTCAGCAAAGGACTGGGACAATCATCAAAATAGAAGTCCTTGAGTAAGAGGCTCTTTAAGGTCTCTTTGGTATCTGGAGATTTTAGAATGGGGCATGAGGCAATCACCAGGCTGTCAATTGCTGTTGGCAGTCCTTCATCTACCAATGATTCAAGCTTTGAAAAGCCTCGGATAGAGAGCACCTTGAGAGAGGACAAGCTTTTCAATGAACCTATTTCTACAGACAAAGAAGTGATGCCTTTGCAGTCACTGATATGAACCCTAAACATAGCTCAACATAACATTGTAAGCCTAATCTATCAACAAATATTCATGATGATTCCAATTTCCCAGAACAACAAGAACAATGTTTACAGGCATCCTTTGTTGCAATAGCTTTCATACTCTCTCTCTCTCTCTCTCTCTCTCTTCCTCTCTCTTCTCTCTGTGCATGATTAGATGATCATCCACATACCATTGATGTGAGTTAATTTAATGTTAGCAAGGTTAGAAGTATATAGAGTTCATATTGAACTTTTTTCTTATAGTGTGGTGGAGCTTACTCGGGTAATGAGTTAACACTATTTGTCCGTCATTTTTCTCCTCATAGATAAACCTATTTTGCATGCTTAGTTTTGAATGCATGCAACTACACCTGTGCCTATGTTTCGTAGAAAGTTTCTGCTCAATTTGCCAGTATACTTGCTTGGAATGGCTTACTATTTTCCTTAGTAACTTCTACGAACTAAATAGCTTGGATTGTCTTCTAAAATAGCATTGGAAGGAATCTTTTCATTCTAAGCTATTATATATATGTAAACATATAAAAGGAATCTTTACTTGGATTAATGGCCAACTTTGACTAACTGCTTTAGGTATTGACCAAATGAAATTCAAACTTTTATGCGATTATGGAGCAAAGGAGAAAACAAACTAAGTCTTGTTTGCAAGGAACAGAAGAAATCAATTATTTTTAAATATTTTTTGGCATAAAAATATTAGAAAGGAATATCGTACTCACCTTTAAAGCAAACAAATCAACGAATCCTTGCCTTGTTCTTTGGCGCATCTGGGTGGAAGATAGCTGGATGGAGTCAATTTCGAGGTCTGGGACATGAATGATCATTGACCATTCTGTAGCTCCTGCACCCTCTTTTTGGCATTCTTCTATCAGTAGGGGACACCCATGAATCTTCAAATGTTGCAGAGAGGGAGGAAGCCCCTCCTCTGGAAAGCACTGGATCAAGGGACAATCCTCCATATACAAGTCCTTGAGTAAAAGGAGTCTCTTCAAGGTCTCTTTGGCACCTAGAGACTTTAGAAGCGGGCATGAGCCAATCATCAGACACTCAAGTGCTGTTGGTAAACCTTCATCTGGCAATGATTCAAGCATTGGACAGCCTTGAATTGAGAGTAGTTGGAGAGAGGACAGGCTTTGCAAGGATTCTTTTGCTTCAGACAGAGAAGTGAGGGATTTGCAATCACTGATGTATAAAGCCTTAAGACCCAGAAGATGGGGTAGTTTTGGGAAAAAGATTAGGTCTGAGATGTTTGAAATGACCAAAGAGTGGAGAGAACTGGTATTGGGTATTGCCCTCACTAGTGTTACACTAGAACATGTGTCTAGAGCTAAATGCAGAAGACGCTGAGCAACCTGTGGGACAGGAAAGACACTTACAAGTTCACATCCACTTATCTCCAGTTTTTGTAGAGCACACAGTCGAGGCAGTGCTTGGATCTTGGGGCAGTTTACCAGTTTCAATTCCAAAGGACCAACAAAAGCAGGATTGGGTTGGCCAACAAGGTTGCCTTGATCACATTTGGCGATGCACCTTCCTTCTTGCCAATCCTCCAGAACAAGGTTGTTAATAAGTATTAAAAACAACAGAGAGGAAGCCATTGGAAGAGCCTTCAACGAGTCACACCTCTTTACCTTGAGAAATCTTAAATGGGACATGAAGCTCGGTACCTTCCTCAGCTTGAGGCAGTTTATAATATGCAGCGTACACAATGAGGTGTATTGATCTTCTGGCCATTCCTCAAGCTCCTGCATCCCTTTGATGTAGAGCTCTCTAAGACAGGGTAACTGACCGAGAGACAATATTTTGCACTTAGTGCAATGATATAAGGAAAGTGTAACCAAATTTTGGAGCAAACCATCTGTCATCCAAGAAGGAAAATTCGAGCCTATAAAGTGATGAATTGCCAGATCTTCGAGATTTGAGTGGCGTTTGAGGTCTTTAAGCTCCCTCTCTGCTTTGACTTTATCTTGTTCGTTGAAGTCTCTACCACTCCAGTCTAAAACCTGTTTCTTGAGGCTCTTCTTCTCCTTTAAATTTGTGTCTGCTTCATTCACTGCATTTCCTGGCTTTAACGTATGCAGTGCAGTAAGGTATGCTGCCTCAGTAAGGTATGCCGCCTCATTCGGTTTTGCAATTCCGTGTCCACTTGTGCCACTTTCAAAAAATGCATTCAATTTCTTTAGAGTGGTTAAGTTTCCCATTTTTGATGGCAGCATCCTGCAGTTGAACCAAAACATCTCATCTAGCTCAAGATAATGCAGGTTAACCAAGTTGCCAAGGTCCTCAGGCAATTCAAAAAGCCAAAGGCACCCTAGAAGTTTAAGTGTCTGCAGATTGTAAAGGTTACAAATCGAGTTGGGAAGCAATTTGATCTGTGTTCTAGAGAGGTCCAGGTACCGTAGTAGCTTCAACTCTTCTATAGAACTTGGCAATTCTACAATATCGCTTAAACTTAGGTCCAAAACACGAATGTATTTTTGAGAATGAAACATCTTATCAAGAGTCTGCCCCAGGTGTTTCACGTACTCACCATGCAGTAGGAATGTCCGCAGCTTTTTAGAATTTTCAACTATCTGTAAGATAGAATTCTCTAAATATTTAGACTGAAATGAAACATGACGAGTTTCTTCACAGAAAATTCCGGATTTGCCATGCTCAACTAGGCAGCATTGGGGGGTTGAAACTGATAGAGCCAAGTCATGCATAAGGTCATGCATAGTATATCCCACCTTGTTGTTTATGTTTAAAATTTGAAAGAAAGACCTTGTTAACAATTCATCAAAACATTCAATTGCAGCCTCCTCCAAACTTTGTTGTGCATTTGATTGAATGAATGCTTCAGCCATCCAAAGCTTGACCAACTCCTTTCTATCAAAAACATTGGCCTTTGGAAATAAGGAGCAATATGCAAAACACTGCTTTAGATTAGAAGGTAGGTAGTCATAACTCAATTTTAAGGCAGGCAGAATTTTAGGCCTGTCAAAGTTCCCATCCTCTAGCTCGCAAATGTTATGTCTTAAGATTTTCTTCCATTTGTTTACATCAACATTACCACGCAGGAGACCTCCCATTGCCTTTACTGCCAATGGCAAGCCGTTACACTTCCCTACAATTTTCCTACCAATGTTTTCCAATTCTGCATGGATGCCACCCAATGAACTATAGTCTTTGAAAGCAATTTTTTTAAACAATGACCAACATTCATCCTTGGGCAAATAATCCAATCTGTAGGGAGGTTGTGTTCCCATAATGTCTGACACTTTGGTGATTCGAGTGGTGACCAAAACTCTACTGCCCTTACCTCCTTGTTTCAAAAGGTTTTGAAGTGGCTCCCATTCTCGGTAATCTTCAGCCCAAACATCATCTAAAACAAGCAGAAAGTTTTTCCCAGCCAAGAATTTTATGATGTGTGCCTCTAGTTCGCTTGTGTGTAACTCGTTAGAATACTCCACTTCGGGGAGAAATTTTATCATTTCCTTGAGTATCCTTCTATAATTGAACTCAACTGTGACACAGACCCACATCGTAAAATCAAAATGATTCTTTACTCTCTCATCATGGAAGATAAGTTGAGCTAGAGTTGTTTTGCCTAGGCCTCCCATCCCCACAATAGGAATGACAGAAACATCACCTTCTATATGAAATTCATTTGATAGCATCAGATTTATTAATGTTTGTTTATCAGACTCTCTACCAAAGACATTTACTGTGTCCAAAAAGAAAGTGGTGTCTGGAGGGTTTTGGGACTTTCCACAATCACTAATTATGTTGAGATGGAATTTGTTTTTCTCCTCAGCAATTGCAGCAAGTTCTGCTGAAATTTCGATGATCTTATATGCAACATTGGATTCAAAGCAAGCCTTGCTTAGACTTAATGGAGTTCGGAAACTGCGTACCTGCTGCTTTCTCTTCCAAAGGAAAGTTTCTGTTGCATAGGTGTCCAGTATGTCCTCTATGTCACAAGCTGCATTTTTAAGCTTTGAAAGCCAGTGTTTCACAGGTGGTTCATCCAGTTGCCTCTCCTCGGCATCTTTAAGCACAGATTGGATGGTGATTAGATTGCTTGACAGCTTTTCTACCTCCTTCTTGACACCCTGGACTGCAAGAAACCCTTCCTTGATCAAGGATCCCGCAGCGTCAATGATATTACTCACTAGAGGCTGCACAAAAATTGAAGCTGGATCACCCATAACTCTTGATAGCTTATTAATCAGAACCCCTGCAAAACAGAAAAAGTATTCATCAATATGTTTTGCTTCATTCATTATCTTCTGTGTGGACAGATGACACAATAACTCACCAGCAAGAAAATATGTTTAAGACAAAATAGAAACTTAGTTGAACAGAATGATATATCGTTCAGTTTCTTATTCTGTATGTATATAGAAAAATTCAGACACTGCAGAGACACTAGAGGATTAGGTGAGTTTACTACGAAATTTCCATTTCCTTGCACAAGTACCTCACACGGTAATGCTGATGCCGGGACCGAGTAAAATTAATTATTTAGGTAGCTCAGGGACGGATGTAGATAGTTGCCAGGGGGGCAGCTGCCCCCACTGAGTTCCTAATTTTTTTTTATAGGTTTATTGAAAAAAAAAACCTCAAAAGTTTTGAAAATTTAAATTTTGCCCCTTCTAAAAATATTTTTATAAAATTTACCCTCACTAAATTAAAGCTCATACAAGAATTTCGTTATCGTTTATCTAGTAATTAAACATTGATTATTTAGGTGTTAAACAATTTCGTTATAATATATTTATAAGTTTATAAAAAAAGTAAATTATTTTTAAAGGGTTTAAAATTTTTAAATTTTAAATTTCTTCTAATAATTTATTTAAATTGATCTGAGATGATTTTATAAAAATTTCGAAACCTAAAGCTTGTATTACTTAAATGGTTTTAACTATTTATTTAATAAAAAAAAAGTAAATGATAAAACTAAACATATTAAAAGTGAATAATAAAACTAGATATATTAATTTATATATTATTCGTTTACATTTATATCTATCTTTAAAAATTTTATAATAAAAATTTTATTAAATTAATGTGTTTTTATATTGAAAGTTGATTTATCAAAATGGTATTTCGACTATATTTGTTCAAAATCATAAAATTAATTTTAACTATACAAAAATTATTTTTATGGAAAAAAAATTTTAGTGTATAAAAAAATATGTTATATATTTTGATTTTATTTATAATTTTTTATATTAATTTATATTTCAATAAAAAAATTTAAATTAATTTAAAATATTTGCCTCTCCGTTAATCATAGATCCTGAATCCGTTCCTGCATATGCAAAATTTAACATCAAAGGTAGTATTATATCCTATGTGACTCTAAACTAGTCTTTTCTTCTATTGGTAAGCAGATGGTGAAATATTGCAAGCCATCCCGCCTGGCGATTGCCTCCGTACCTCAGCGAATTTCCCAGAAAATCGGTATTATGCACATCATCTGATTATTTGCAGTGAATTCATTTGTTTTCTTAAGTAACTATTGTGCTTTTATGATGCTCGTTTCCACTCTTTTTTCCCTCACAAGTCTAACTTTGAATAGTGAATGATAAATACTCGAAACCGAACTTGAAAATGAAAAGTCGAGATCATTCAATGCAATCTTCCAGATAAAACTCATGACGTCACTGAAGTCCAGTCTTCACGCGCTTAGAGTAAACTGTAAATTTTGCTACGAATTGACTACAACAGAGGCTGACTAGACAAAAAGACAAGTATCTTTCTTGATACCTTCTTACATGTTGCAGCTTCTCCTCTGTGTTTCTCCCCACGTTTTAAGTCCCTTTGACATTGTTTTTTATATTCAAGAGTGCGGACATCTTTGCTTTTGTTGTGAACATAACCATGAATTTGAAGAGAAAGGCAGTAGCAACTGACACCAATGAGCTCTTCCCTCAGCACAAGATGAAGGTTTGTTTCCCTCTCCCTATCTCTTGTTTTCTATATTAGTACTTGCCAAAAAGTTTAATTGAACAAAGTCTGTGGATAATTTAATGTGTGAAACTGAAAAGAAATATTTTTTTATTATTATTTTTTTCTGTTCCAACTCTTCATGCAGAAAACTTGGGAGGATGCAAAGTCTGGTCACAAATGCTTCGTGCTGTATGCAAGGTCACTCCACATCAGTTGGAGTGACCATGAATATTGGATGTGGGAAAGTTTTAAAGAAACAAAGTGAGATTTAGAGAATATTTTCAGGGGAATCATTGTTTTTGTCATTTTTCAATTGCCATGTGGTCATGCTTGTTATTTGTTTCGTGATATGCAGTGATGAGAAAATTGAAGTAGCCAGACTAAGAACTGTTTGTTGGCTGGAAGTGAAAGGATATTTCAAAATATCAGACCTTTCGCCAGGAACCATATATGAAGTTGCGTACGTAGTCATGTTAACGAAAGGGGCATCTGGTTGGGAACTCCCTATCAAGCTTAAATTATCTCTCCCTGATGGAAAAGTTCAGGAGCGTCAAGTTAGTCTCTTGCAGAAGCCTAGAGGGCAATGGATGGAGCTCAGTCTTGGCCACTTCTGCACAGGGGAGAATGGAGAACCAGGAGAAGTTAGCTTTAATCTCTACGAAATTGGGGGCCACTGGAAAAGTGGACTTGTAATCAAGGGTGCCGTTCTAAGGCCGATAAACTGAATCACTTCTTTAAAGGAATGCAAAGAAAGAAAAGAAAATATGCAGGAACCCTTTGCGGCTTAATAAAAAAAAAGGAAAGAAAATACCTGTTCTATTCAGCATGTTGCAGCTTTTAACTACTTTTCATACTTTCCATTCATGCTTGTTGTTGCAGGTGTCATTTTTTTTTTTATGTATATGATGATTTGTTTCAACTGGATTACCTCATGGTACTTTCTCTGTGTAAAGACCTGAGGTGTCATTCATATAGACGATTCTATACCAAAATCTTTTAACTTCGGTGTTAAAATGCATCATGCGCAAAGTATAGTAGATTTGAATGAGAAAAAATTAGTATACAATATAAGTTGAACACCACCTGCCTTCATATGCACATTATGTGCACAATGTTAAACCAGGAGTGCCATTGAATCATGTAAGCTCACTCTACCACTAACAAAGTATTACACAATCTCCATTATAAAGTAACAAGCTATATGTGATGGTCAGGCCTTGGTCCTGCCATGACTGACCCTGAGTTGAGCAGTAGTTGAGATTGTGTTGGCAGGACAGTGGTTCTAAGAACAACAGGTGTGCAGTATGAGCCTAGAACATGATGCTGATGGAGTGTGCGGACAATGTGTGCCTTAGTTCCCCAAGGTGTGCGGGGAAGTTTGAGCCAATGGGTGGGAACCCTTGAGTTGAGTAGCCAATCAAGTGCTATCGGTCGAAATCATATGTGGGCACCCTTGAGTGGGTTGGTGCAGCAATGAATGAAATGCTGGAATTAAGGTGACCAAGAGAAATGTCACTAAGCCCTGAGTTGGCCGAAGAAAGTCCTTGAAGTGGCTGGGGAGAAAAGTGTCCCCATTTCAAATATTCTTATAGTTCTTGGTAAGAGGCCTGGAAAAGCTCTTACACTCATTATAAGGAGACAATTGGTGTTAGCTTTCCATCACCCCATTGGCTAGCAAGCAAGCAGAGGCTTGGTTAATTTGAAGCGAGCTACTTTTAGGCACATATGGTGTCTAGGCGGGCGGGCACCGTTGCATCATGAGCACGGTAAGGTATGTTGTCAGGTCGTGGTAAACCTGGGGACGGTTGGGGCCAGTGGGTCTTGTATCGCACCTTTACATTGAACCATGAGGTTAGGCAGTAGCATTTACTATGCCCTTCGATTTTCCTTCTTTAAGTCGGAAAGATCATGATAAAGTGTTTTTGTAGGAGGGCCACTATCGAGCTTAAGGGATGAGCAGGCTAATAGGCAGACACGCTACTAGACCCTTATGATCAATCGGTAGAGGTGTCCTTCAGTTGGGGTAGCACACCCAAGTCTCTGAGGGGGGACGAGCATGATGTTAAGTGTCCATAATGCATGTGGGTAACCTAAAATGAGGCTAAGGGTTGAGGCCTTAAAATATGAGTGTTTCATCGGATGAAATGAGCCTAGTATGGCTCCGGGATGGCTGCTGTCCAGCATCTGTATTGTGCCTTCAGGATATAGGCATGAGAGCTTGTATACGATACGTGCAGGCATGATGTTAGGTTCTAACCATGCTAGAAAGAGATAATATCATGAGAACTGGGGCTATACACCCTTATGAGCAATGTGGGTCAGTGCTCGACACCTAGATGCTTATGAGCGAAAATGGATGCTGAGGGCCACCATGAGAATTGTGCGACCCTACGAGGTTAAAGCCAAGAAAGGCTCACCAACATATGGCTTGAAGGATCGCTATTGAGCTATCCATGGGAAAATAGACTCACGAAAGGCTGACCTTGACTATAAGTAGCCTTGGTGCTACACGGATGTGTGGTTTCGGTACAACGAACTCACAGCCTGTGACATGTGGTATTAGAGCCATGTTTGGCTTAGTGGTGGGACTAACATAGCCCCAGGTGTAGGTATGATAACATGAAATTCAGGTGGTGCTAAGTTCAAAGAGAGCTATCAAGATGTAAATGTGGTTCTGTGGCTACGAGGGCTCAGGAATGGGCCAACGATGTGTGCTGTGGGAAAAATTAGCTTAGGTGGAAGACCTTCGAGTAAGCTCTTGGATGCCAAGCAAAATGGTTGTCTGGCCTCACCTAGCGAAAGGTGTTGGCAGTGCAGGCATGTGATGCCCTTGCGGTGGGAAAATCGTGATGAGACCAAAATGCGAAAGGGGCATACACCATGAAATGGTGTTGAGTAAGGCCATGAGGGCCGAAATGAGTTTTGTCCTAAAAGACACAAGTCATGGGTATTGAGATCAGTTACTAACATGTGCACTTATTGTGTGGTGCAGGTGCCCTAGCAAGGGTATGAGCTGAGTATTTAAGTTTAAGTGTAGAGCCTTTTTGCAGAGGTAGACGAGTTTGAGTTAGCTGGAAATTGAAGCCATGAGTTGACAATGGTCGATGGACCATGAGTTCTTGTGGTTAGAGAATCGCGAGAGTGTGTCGATCAGTGGATCGTGTATTATGTTGGTCGAGAGAAAAGGCCTTATAAGATGTGGTGGTCAGCAAACCATAACAATATGTAATTCAATGAAAAGAGCAAATGAGAATTGGCCAGTTAACAAGGCCTTATGAGTTGTGCTGGTTAAAGAACTGATTGAGTTGAGTAAGCTGATGGTATAGGCGTTTGGGTTATGTATTCGGTCAACGGACTGGACGAGTTTAAGCAAGGCAAAGGATAAGTCGATTGGAATTGAGCAAGATGTCGGCCTATGGGATGGCCTTGAGCCTGAATGGGCTAGTAGACCTTAAGTATCGAGTGAGTTGGCGAACCCTTGAGTCGAGCAAGTCAGTAGACAATGTGATTGTTTGGATCGGTGGATCCTAAAGCATTAAGTGGGCTATGGGATGCCCGCTGAGATGAGCTAAGTTCGGGTAAAAGTGGGGGAGAAGTGTGCTTCCCTGTGGAATTGAGCCAAAGTAATAAAGCCTGAGTTTATAAAGCCCTATGTTTGAGTCAGAAAATTGAGTTCAAGATAGAATACATTAAGGTGCTGCTATGAAAGCGGTTGGCCAGAGGGCTACACCTAGAAAGGTGACCTTGAAAGGGCCAAAAGGACCCAAATTATGAGATGGCCAAAATGTTTGAATACCGCCATGTTAGGGTCAATTGTGGGTGGTATTGCATGAGTGCGGTTAACCTAAACACCACATCCAGAGGGGCACATCAAAGAGTCGATGCTACATGCATACGGTTGGTGTGATGTGTCATGTCCAACGGGGCATACCAATATGTAGCAAAGTAGGTGGTCATTCATTTTACTGAGGGTCATGATCAACAAGGATGCCTTAAGGTCACAACGTTATGAGATCATGAAAAAAGATGTGCAGTGGCACACATTGAGCAACTAAGATAAAGTCTGATAGTCAAACATAGGTGCATGAAGCTGGGATGAGATCCATTTACATCGGTAATGAATGAATACTATGAGCATTGCCTCATGTGATGGGATCTCGACCCAATCTTTGATGGCATAAGTGTGACATATATGAGAAAATGTCAACTATGTGCAACAAGAGAGTTAGGTGTGGTCTTGGCATCGATGAGGGCATCAACATAGTAAGTGAGGAGATTGTCATGGTCAGGCCTTGGTGTGCCTTGGTCTTACTATGATTGACCCTAAACTGAGCAGCAAGCGAGGTTGTGTTGGCAAGACAGTGGTCTTAAAAATAATGAGCGTACAGTATGAGCCTTAGAACATGATGCCGATGGAGTGTTGGCAATGTGTGCCTTAGTTCCCTAATGTGTATAGGGAAGTTCGAGCCAGTGGACGAGCACTCTTGAGTTAGGTAGCCAGTCAGGTGCTATTGGTTAAAATTGTGTGCAGGTACCTTCGAGTAGGTTGGTGGAGCGATTAATGAAATGTTGGAATTAGGGTGACTATGAGGAAGGTCACTAGACCCTAAGTTGGCTGAAGAAAGGCCTTGAGGTAGCTAGAGAGAAAAGTGTCTTCATTTTAGATATTCTTACGGTTCCTGGTATGAGGCCTGGAAAAGCTCTTACGCTTTTTATAGGGGGACAACTGGTGTCAGCTCTCCACCACCCCTTGGTTAGAAGGCAGATGGGGGTCTGGCTAGTTTGAAGTGAGCTACTCTTAAGCACATATGGTATCTAGATGGGCGGGTATCATCGAGTCACAAGTGTGGTATGGTGTCTCCTTGGGTCATGGTAAATTCGAGGATAGTTGGGGCCGACAGGCCTCGTATGACGCCTTTGTGTTGAACCATGAGGTTAGGTAATAGCGTTTGCTATGCCCCTTGATTTTCCTTCCTTGAGCTGGAAAGATCATGAAATGGTATTTGTGTAGGAAGGGCACCATCCAGCCTGAGGGATGAATGCCCTAGCAGGCAGGCACGTTGTTAGACTCTTATGGCCAATCAGTAAATGTGTGCTTTGGCTAAGGTAGCACACCCGAGTCTTTGAGGCGGGACGAGTATGATGTTGAGTGTCCATCATGTGTATAGGTAGCCTAAATGAGACTAATGGGTGAGGCTCTAAGATATGAGTTTCATGGGATAAGATAAGACTAGTATGGTTCCAAGCTGACTACTGATCAGCATTTGTGTTGTGCCTTTGGGATATAGGCACGAGAACTCGCATACGATACGAACGGGTATGGTGTTATGTTCTCACCATGCCAAAAAGAGATAATATCATGAGAATCGAGGATATACACCCTTATGAACAAGGTGGGTCACTGCCTGAGATCTAAATGCCTACAAGCAAATATGGGTGCTCGAGACCACCTTGAAAATCGTGGGCTAATGAGTTGAGAGAACTTGGATTCCTCTCTAGTGAGTTTGAGAATGTGCGATCCTACGAGATCACTATCAAAAAAGGCTCACGACCATACAACTTAAAGGATTGTTATTAAGTTGTCCATGAAAAAATGAACTTGGGAAAGGCTGACTTCGACTAGGAATAATCTTGGTGTCGCAACGGATGCGTAATTTCGATGCAAGGAACTCATGGCCCGTGACACTATATATGTGACACACACAAAGACAACAAGATTCGATTCAACCGACTGATCTACTGTTAATCAATCTCACAGTCATTAAACCAAATAAATATAAGCCATTACAATAGCAGGACATACATGATTTCAAAAAAAATGAAAATCCTGCCAATGAAAATCCAGGCAATCCTTCCTGTACGACAAGCACTTGCACAGTTGCACTGGTAGGCGAGTAATACACTTTTGAAAGACAAAATACATGCAATACTACCCAAAACACAACCAGTCATGAACAACACTCAGTTTTAGATTTTTTTGGAAAGGCAATAGAATTTCAT